GGGCAGGCAGGTGGAGAGAAGCGGGCTGGTGGGGATCTCAGACTGACAGCAGTCACCTCCCACCCCGGCTGCCTCCTGGTCCCAGCAGCCCAGAGGTCACAGCCAGTGCTGTCTTGGGCCCAGCTGAGGGGACAGGGTCAGGTCAGGCTGAGAGACAGGGGAGGACGTCCTTGGATTGCTCTCCCCAGGCTGGGCAGGCCCACGGCCCCTCCTGGCCTCCAAGGCCAGGGCCTAGCCGGGCACCCACTGAAGATGCCCAGGGCAGGCCCGTTCCTAGGGGCACATGGGCATGTGTGTTGGGGAAGCAGATTTCTGGCCCTGCCCTCCCCGGCAGTAGCGTGGGGGCCGAGGCTGTGCGGGGCGCCCACCTGGTAGTTGTGCACCACTGTGATGTGCATGGGCGGCTTCTTGGTCTTGCTGAAGTTCACGACTGAGTCCTGCTTGGGGCCCGGCACACGGCAGGAGGACAGGATCTGATAGTACTGGTTCATGCACAGCGGCTTTCCCCCCAGGTACTCCACAGGTAGGGTCTCACTGCAGGGCAGGATGACAGTGAGGGGGCCGCTGCGTATGGTTGGGGGCTGGGCCAGGCCGAGTCAGGGGTCACAGAAGCAGTGTCAGGCTCCTCGTGTCCCTACTTCCCCTCAGCCTGCGCAGGGGGCCGGACAGAGCTGAGCTGGGGTCAGGAGGCCTGCTGTGAGTCACCCTGGAAACTCCCTCCCCTCTCTGGGCTTTAGTTTGCCATGGGGAGATGGAGCAGCCAGCCAACTTCCAGGGCCCTCTTTGGCTGGGATGCCAATCCCAGGGGGCTCTTGTGATAGGGTCACCAGGGGGAAGCCCCAGCAGCTGGAGCAGAGGACCTAGGCATCCCAATCCCCAGGCTCTGTCTCCCCAACCCCACCAGACGCTGGGACAACAGGAAGTGAAAGCAACGGGCTCAGGGCCTGCCCAGCACCCATGGCTCGGGGTCAGGCTCAGGCTCGGCCCGGCTGGAGTGACTGTTAACTAGGCAGGTAGGGTGGGGTCCGGCCGAGCTGCTCACTTGTCAACCATGGCCTTGAAATCCAACACGCCCTCGATGAGCTTAGCAGCAAACCTGAAGGAAACAAGTAGAGGTCAGAACTGTGTGGACACCCTGCAGAAGCTGCCTGGGTCAGGGACACGTGTAGAGGGAAGGAAGTGACCGATCACTTCACTCCTCGCGCCCTGCTTGCAGAAGCCAGCGGGAGTTCCAGTTCAGGACCTGTGTTCAAGTCCCCGCTTGCTCCTCTAAGCCTGCTTTCTTGCAACGTCTAGAGCAGCGGTTCTCAACCTTTCACAGGGGTCGCCTAAGACCATCGGAAAACACATATTTTCCATGGTCTTAGGAACCGAGACACCGCTCCTCTATCCGTCTCCAGGCCCACATGCAAATACGCCCACATACGAGTACCCGGCGACCCCTGTGAAAGGGTTGTTCGACCCCCAAAGGAGTCGCAACCCACAGGCTGAGAACCGCTGGACTAGAGGGATGAAGGCTCAAGGCAAAACCTGGCCAAGTAAGTGCCTGGCGAGACTTAGGTGCTAACAAACGGCACCTTGATCAGAGCTGCATTATGGGTCAGTGCTGGCTGGTTCCACCCACCAAGGGCCCGAGGCCCTGAGCCATACTCTGGAGGCTGGAAGGTCACCTTTCTGTCAGGCATCAGTTATGGAGGGCCCCAGGGCCCCAGAGGAGGGGAGTGTGCATGGGAGGGCAGTGGCTCCTCTGCTAGGTCCCTACCTATTTCTGGGCCTCTGCGTCTCCCAGGCCACCTTCAACCTGGCCTTCCTCCCTGGACTGTCTAGGCAATACCAATCATACCCTGGCCCCCAACATGGGGACCACCAGCTGGAGTTCCTGAGCCTGAACCCCCAAACCTTCCCAGGGCCCCCCTGGTGCCTTTAAGAGAAGCAGGTGGTGGCTGTGACTGGCTGGTACTTGGGGAGGAGATCCCTGTCACTGGTATTTTTATCGCTGGTAGGACTGGAACAGAGGCCAGGGCAAGTGACATGGCCGAATGTGGAAAAGGGGACTGTGTACAAAGGTCATCCCTGTGGCCAACTGAGGAGAGAGGGAAGGAGGGGTGAAGTGCCATAACTGGGGTGGGGGATAGCTTCAGGTTTAGGGGGAGGGAGGGAACCCCGTCCACAGTGTGGTGGTGCAGTTATGAGGCTTTGGAGCCAGGAAGTCCCTGCTTCCTGTCCCAGGTCAGCCAATCCTGAAAGGTGATCTTGGGCAGGCCCTCTCACTGCGCTGAGCCTCAGTTTCCTCATCTGTAAAAAAGGGATGATGTTCCCTACTTCATAAGGCTATTTTGGGGCTGAAAGATAATGAACAGGGCTAGGGCCCCTCCAATCTCCTAGGGGGAGTAGACTTCAGGGCCCTGGAAATGCCCAGGAGCCCTGCCCCCGCCACCTCCTGGCTCTCCCCCAGGCTCAGCCACTCACCGGAGCTGTCCCTGCAGATCCACAAAGTCCTGCCTGGGCAGTACTAGTCCAGGGCTGGAGTAGATGACTAGCGGCTGGCGGTACTGGAGGTAGGCCGTCTTAAGCCACCATTCAGACAGCTGGAGAAAGGACGAGAGCCTATCAGGAAGGGTGGGCAGGAACCTGGTGCCCCTTCCCCCCAGGGCCAAGGGGACCTGGCTGGGTACACTCTGGCCCCTCTGTGGAGCAGATTCTCAAAGTGAATGCTCAGACCCAGAACCCTCCGCCCCCTTAAGCCCACCAGCAGCGCCCCATCATCTTCCCCTTAGCCTGTGCCAAAAGCGTTAGCAAGAGAAATCAGGCACCACTGCCAAGAAAAAGGTGTGAGTGGAAAAAAGGCTGGCAGGAAACCTGGGATGGGGGAAGACAAGAGGCCGAAACGTGAATCATGTTTCTTTATCTTCTAGTTTTTGCTCCATGATTTTACTACTTTTAGAAATAAAAATGTACGCCTGATACGAAGGAAAAGAAGAGAAAGATATAGAAAAAGAAAGTCTGATGAGTGAGTTTTTGCTCGTCCCAGGTGGGCATTCTCCAGGAAGGCGGGAGCCCAGGGTGCAGTGCAGCACTGGGGACTGTGGTCCCTTATGGACTCAGTTTTGTTGGTGTCACACTGGGGCGTGACACTCACTTGGATATCAAGGTCAAGGCAATCTGGGGGCAGCTCACTGTGAGGCTAAATCATTGTACTGGTGACACATCCAGTATCTCCACCCGGTGGTGTGTCCTCTGCTTGGGGTGGGGCTGTCTCCAGTGGGTGAGCAGTGTCTTTAACAGTGTACATGTTAAAGGCTCCTATCTAGGGGCTACGTAGGCTCCCACATAATTGTCACCCTTGAGCTTTATGTGCTTCACTGCAACATTGTCCCTACTACTCCCAAGCACACGTTCAACACAGCTCTCTCTGGCAGGTCTCTTAATCCCTGGAGACCTGGGCCCCCACTGTGCTTCTGTATCCCATCTCAAACAGTGGTGGGACATACCTCTTTACCACACACATTCCCCTGGGGGAACTGCTGGCCTGTGGCACCAGGCCATTAGCCTTGAGACCTTGGCAAGGGACGAGGGGTGGTGCCTTGCCCAGGTTGCAACAGCGGGCCGGTGGATGACTTCTGTCTGCTGGCAGGTAGCCTGAGGATAGGGCCCCTAGTCAGCCAGCCCCTCCTGTGTAGCTCGGAGCCTCCTTGAGAGCTGGTGTGTGGCTCTGTGCTTTTATCTCACTGGGCCTGTTTCCTCATCTGCAGATCAGAGAGGGTCAGACAGGAGCTCCCTCCTCTTGGGGACAGCTGAGCTGCCCTTCAGCCGGGAGCCCCCACTCTATCTCAGAGCCTCTGACCAGACCTCGGGACACAAGGGGAGACCCTGCAGATGTGGGCATTCCCCCGGTGAGAATCCGGGCAGTGGCAAAGCCCCTTTAGGGCAGCGTGGAGACGGGGTGCCCCCCCGCTTTAGCCAGAAGATTGTATTTGAAGGAATTGTGGGCTAAAAAAAGTTGGAAAACTGCCGGACCTCAGACTCTCTCAGCTCCCGATTCCAGAATCCAAGGCTGAAGCTCAGTATGGCTGCCCACCAGCTGATGGCTCCCACCTCCTATGTGCAGCCCCACCCTTCCACTGGCCTCTCATAGCACCTCCTGCTTTATGGGCTAGACCCGGCTTTGGTTCTTTCCTATAAACCTGCCTCTCCCTCGGTTAGCCCCTTTCGGGTAAATCGCCCTCTCCTTTCCCTGACACAGTCGCTTTAGGTCAGGACTGCCCCCCCCTTGACCCCCCACCACCCCCATCAGCAACTACCATTGGAACCAAAACATATTCTGGGCCAAATGACATTCCGCCCTCTCCCTGCCCACATCTCCCTCGGGGCGATGGCACCAGCCTCCCCACCCGCCTCCTGCCGCCCACTCTCGTTCCCCTGCCAGTGGCCAGCGCGGTCATGTGGAACTTTATGTTGAGGTATAAGACGCATACAGAAAAGTGCACAGAGCATCCTTGTAGACACATTTCCATGAGTTGAACACACCTGTGTGGACATACTGAGACACAGAACCCGGGTGATCTGTCACTGAACACCAACGCCCTGCTGGAGCCCATCTGTGGCCCCTTCCCACTGAGCTGAAGTCCAAGTTCCTTCCACTTGCCCCTCTCCCCACTCCTGCCTCTGGCTGTGCCCGAGCTCTCCAGGCTATTGCTGCCTTTGCCTGTGCTGTTTCCTCTGTCTGTCTCAGACCCAACACGACCACCTCCCTCGGCGCCCTTCCTCACCACTAAGAATAAAGACACTGCCATTCTCCACCCCTTTCATGTTGCCTTTTACTTCTATAGAACTTCACTGCCTGAAATGACCTCGTCTACCCACTGTGTCCTGTTTAACCACCTCGCTCCTCATCCTACTTGCAATGTCAGCTCTAAGAGGCCATCGACTGTGCCCATCTTGCCCATCCAGCATTTTCCTACTGCCAGGCACACAGTAAGCACTGAAGACACCCTGTGGTGCCAACGAACGCCCCAGAGCAGCTGGTACTGGGAGATTGTGTGTGCAGCAGCGACAGGCCACAGTGTGGGATGCTCACACCTCCATGGGAACTGGGGGCCCAGGGTGCCCTCAGGTCTCACTCACCCAGTTCTCTGTCTTCCTGGCCCTGCGCTCGAGCCCCTTCTGCAGGCGCTCTCCTACGCCCCCCGCGGTCTGAAACTCTTCCACCAGCTGCTTGGTGTGGGCCCATTCCTCCTCACTGATGATGGGCTGCAGAGTCTTGAGGTAATGGTTCAGAGACTGCTGGAGTGGGGGCACGGGCAGCCGGGGCAGTGAGTCTTGGTGTGTCTTGAAGCGGCCGGAAACCTTCGTCAGGGAGGATGGCTTGAGGAAGCCCAGGGGCTTCACCTGCAGGCAGCAGAACATCCAGCTCATTCTCTCACCAGCTCTGAGAGGCCCTGGCAGCCCCACGCTGCAGCCCTGGGTACTTATGTGCCCATTCCAGGATCAGAGATGGCCTCTTGGGTGGTGCCCGCCCTGGCTTCCCAGCCTTCAAGCTATAGGTGTCTCCACCTATCAGGAGCCTGAAGGCGCAGGTAGGGGTGGGGGAAGGTGAGGTGTGGCCATTGATCTTGACAGGGCTCAGGTGAAACAGGTCAAGATGAATGGCACCTGCTGGGGATGGCAGAGGTGACAGGAACCTCTCACCTGTCTGAATGCTCAGGGCCCTGTCTTTTTCACCCTGGGGGTGATGAGACAGCCAGCAGAGTCCCTCCCAGAGGTCCCCACCTCCTTTTCTCCCACCCTTGCCAGGTTGAGAAACTGGAATGAAGCAGAGAGAATCAGAGAGAATCAGACGGCAACAGCACCTTTAGATGACGGTGAAGCCACAGGTTATTTCCCATCTGTGTGTGGGGTGGGGATAAGGGTGGCATGGGGGCGGCGCTGCGGCAAGAGAGAGCTGAGTGGCCTGGCAAGGAGGGTGACAGAGAGAGAGAGAGAGAGAGAGAGAGCGAGAGAGAGTCTGGGAGGCTCTGGAGGTGGGCAGAAAAAGAGACAGGAGGGTCCAAGGCTGCTGGCAGCAGTAGGCAGGGAAGCGGTAGAGGCTCTGTTCCATACCTTCTCTTTCTGCTGCCCGTCCTCCATGGCAGGACTGAGGTTCTGAGCCCTGTCTGTCTGCCTTGGGCTGGATCTCTAAGCCTAACTGTGCTACCAAGTGGGTGAGCAGAACCTAGCAAGAGGCAGCCACTTGCCTGGACTGGAAAGAGAAGACAAGAGCCAAGATTCAGGGGGGAGGTACAGGTGGCAGTGGTGATGGCTATAGTGGCTGTGGTGGCATCTGGGGTTGTAGCTGTGGCAGGAGCAGCTGCTCCACCTGCCCTAGCTTCCAGAAGTGGAGGAATGGGGAGCAGGTGAGAGGGCCGGTGGTGGGAACTGGATAGGAAGAAACCCGGAAAACTTTCTCCTTCTTCTCTGGATGGGTCCAGAGCCAGGGAGGCAAGCCAAGAGGTATTAAAAAATCCACCTGTTAGAATGTGCGTAGGTCTGATGAAGGAAAATTTGGCTGGAGGGCAGAAACTGCTTGGCTGCTGAGTATACCACAACCCTGGAATCAGTCCTGAAAATTGGGGTTGGTGCAAGGGAGCAGAAACTGGGAAAAACCATAAGTGGACAGTGGGTACTAAGAGCCCTGCCCATCCCCTGTTTCCCTCTAGGATTCTTGGGAACCCTTTTAAGCCACTCTTCCGCCAAACCCTTGTTCTCTTGAGCTGTGACTCATTCAGGTGGGGGCCAAGAATGGAGGACTTCGGGCATTAAAAATAAACCAAAGGACTCTGTCTTTGGGACTGGGTTAAACTTAAGTCAGCACATCCAGGGGATTCTACCCAAGTCTCTCCTTGCCTCAGTTTCCCCAGCAGGAAAGTGACCAGGCCACCCAGCAGGTCCTGGAGGATGACCTAGAGGCTGTTTGTGGGATGAAGACACAGGTCAGGTGGCAGCGGCAAGAGTGAAGTGGAGCCTTAGGATCTCGGAAGACCTGGAAGAGCCTCTCGTCCAGAGGCCGGTGGATGGCTACCCTCAGTTATCTGTGCTGGTAGTGTCTGTTTGAACATTCTCCTTTGCACAGAGGGAGATACAAGCAGAGGTATGCTTGGAATAAAGAGTAAAAGAACTCAAATCAGATTTGCAGCACCTCTTGCTCCAGGCCACCCTCTGGGGAGGACTGGGGAGGTAGCTGTGAACAGGATGGGGGAGAAGCTGGTGGAGCGGGAGGGCATGGGGTTGCCAACCTGCCACCTCCTGCCAGTTCTCAGGACTTTCTGAGCAGCCCAGCTTGACGCTTCCATGTGAGCTTCTCTGGCCACACACAATCCCCCAGGGGCCATTTGATAAGTCCAAGGAGGCTGACCAACTGGATGGGGTTGGAGTGGCTCTGGCCTGGGCAGAGATGGCTCACACTGAGTGTGCGTGCGAAGGGCGTGTGAGTCAGAAAATAATGGTGAGAGACACTCCTGGACAGCCCGCTCCTTGGCTCTGGATCTAAGGGTGGGGATGTTGCCTGAAGCCAGGGTGCCACCATCTTTTCTGGGTCGTCGGAATTTAGCTCTACAGGACTTCTGGCCTCTGACCTTGAGCCTCAGTCTCCTCCTCTGCCAAACGGGGAAGCCCACCTGTCGATCCCACCCCTGGGCAGCGGCCTCTCCGGCCTTGATGCCTGTGTTTCTGTTTCTCCATTGGGGCGCAGCTGCGTCTCTGGCCTGGCCCGCCCGCCTAGTCCAAGGCCCGCCAGGTCGGGCTCCCAGCCTCACTTACCACTGTCCTGGCCGCGAAAGCCAACATCTCTGCGGCCGGCCCGTGGACACACAGTCCGCTCCGCCCCCGCGCTGGGCAAAGTCCGCGCCGCCACCTCTGTTGGTGGATCCCCGCTAGAGTTTCCTGACCACGGTAGCCAAGTCACCGCCGCGGGCCGATAGAGGTGGCCCCGCGCCCACCCACCGGGCCTGGCGGGCGGCGGGCTGGCGGCTCAAGGAGGACTCTCTGGGCGGGGCGACCCGCCAGCTGCTAGCCCCCGCGGCTAGCAGGGTGCGTAGGGCGGGGCCACAGGGGCGGAGGGGGCGGGGCCACAACACGGGGCGGGGCCGAGGGTGCAGTTAGCGGGCCGCGTTCGCCCGGAGGCGGTGGAACCGGGAAGCGGGGAAGGGGGGGGCAGCCGTTCAGCTCACTCTCTCCCACTTCCAAATGCCAAACTGTTGGAGGCAGTGGTGTGCACCCCTCTAAATCCGTTTGGTGTCCTATGAGCTACTCTCATAGTGGTAGGAAACACAACCATGTTGACAGGAGAATGTCTTCTAATATCCGTCAGGATAGGGCCAGAGCCACGCACAAAGATGACAGGTGGGGACCGCCCCGCAAAAGCATGGCTACGCAACCGCCCTCGCCCGCCCCGCAAAAGCATGGCTGCCGCTCTCCCAGTGCTCGGCGGGCGGTTGGCCGGACGGTTGGCTAGCCCGCCGTTGGTGCGCATGCTCCGGGCGCCCCGCACTAATATGGCCGCTACCTCCCAGTGAACCCTGCAGCCGCGAGCCGGCCGTTGCTGGTCATGCTCCCTGAGTGCCCCGCACCGACATGGCGGTCGTCTTCGCTGGGGTGACTGTAATTCTCGGTTTTCGGTTATAGCCGGCTGGTGCCATTTCTCTTCAGAAAGCTCTGAGCTCCGGGAAAGGAAGGGTGGGTGTGGAGGTGAAAAGGGAGGTCCAGCTCCTGACGGGAGGAAGATGGCTGAAGGCGAGCGGCAGTCGCCGCCAGGTAGGGCGCGTTGGGCCGGGCCCGGGTGGGGGGCGCGGGGGCGGTGGCAGGGTCTCAGCAAGGGATTCATCGCGAGATGGAGGAACTCGCCGGGCAAGCGCTGATGGGCCCAGAGGAGGAACTAGAGTTGAGGGGCGCTGAGGGAGAAGTGGTGAGGAGGGGACCTGAGGGGAGGACAAAAACTCGGAGCTGCGAAGAGGTGGTGGGTGGGGCGCGACACCGGACTTGGGGAGCCCCGGCTGCTCGAGGGTCGGGTGGGCAGCGCCTTGGCCAGAAGGGGAGGCCTTTTGCACGTCTGGACTGCGCGTGCTGAATTCGGTTCTTGATCTGGTGAGGACGATGCGAGGGATGCTGCTTAGGGGATGGGGTGGGGGTGGGGGGGCGTGCTCCGTGGGCCTGGGCCTGCTCAACCCCATTCCCCCCATTCCCAGCCCCCTGCATGCCCTGTCCACCCCTCATCCACCTCCCCTCTCTCTGGGAAGCCGGCCTCTGGAGTTTCTGGTGGCTGTGAATGGACTGAAACTGTCCTTGGTCGTGTAAACCACTAATTTAAAAAGGATGGTTGTGCAAGGAGAGGAGAGCGTCTCTGGCATCAATCACCATCTGTAACTTTTATTT